AATTGGTAAAGATTCTTGATTTTGAAGAATACGGTAGTATTATTTATCAGAATAATGACCACCCTTTTCAAAATTCAAGAGCAATTTTAGCAAGTCAAAACGGTAAATTTGTCAATTCATTACTTATTTATCATTTTTAATTACCAAATAATCCATTTTCAAGCACTATTTGTAGGGTTCAACAATAACAATACCTACTGAAATCTCATAAACAAAACTTGCGGAGGATAAAATATATGCAAATATTATCACTATCTCGTAAAGGTATAAAGATTGTTTTTGAAAGGTAATCGGCTCAAGTGCAACAAATTCAAGTACAAAGAAAAAAGTGACAGCGAAGAAAATATAGAAAGTAACAATAAAATAGTGCGATAACCGAAGCTCACTAAATAACATACTAAGATAGATTATTGTAACTACAATAATATAACTAGTACAATGACAAACACCAACCACCCTAAGCAAGACAACACTACACTACCTACTAATAATTTGTCCTAATACGTGTCCTCTATCCTATTTAAGGTTATGTCCATGATAACTTGAACCCGGGTCATATTATTTCTTATCACCTCTCCCAAATATTTCTTCAACATACCTCAGCCTCTCCTCATACACTTATAACCAACCTCTCGCACTGAAGCGTCTACACATCTCTTCTTCATATGTCTAAATCATCTTACACTCACTTTTCTCAATCATTTTGTCCACCACAAACGCTACTCCCATCTTATTACAACTATCTTTTTTCTAATCTTATCATTCCTAGTATAACCATACATCCACCTTATTATCTTTGTCTATACAACATACATCTTATAGACATGTAATTTTGGACAAATCAACACTATTTGTAGGATTCACTGAATCACTAATTAAACATTTAAATTTGAATAAATTTCAAGATACATTATACACGTAATGTAACATTCAAGTGATATCGCCCAAATATGTAATCGTTGTTGACGTGCAAGACAAATCATCTGATATATTTTAATTATCTTTCGCCATTTCAAATCATTTTAAATTTTAAATTTGTATATACATGCATAATCGTGTCAGGATTATCTTTTTAATCTCATGTGAATGTCACATATCAAGACTAATTAATGAATTATATGTTTAGGAGTAGGGGTGTTCACGGGTCGATTTGAATTGGTTATTAGTGAAAATTAAAATCAAATCAATTTAATCGGTTTTAAAATTATCCAAATCCAATATAATTCTCTATATATTTGTTATCGGTTTCGGTTTGATTTTATTCGGTTATTAATCATAGACAAAAATAAAAGAAACAATTAAGTCAAAACGTAAAAAAATGACAATAATTCATTCAAAACGAAAAATAGTTAGAAAGACTGACATTACATAACTTTTGATCATTAAATTTACTATGAATAAAGCTTCAAAATTCATTATTTTGACCTAGATTGAAGAGATAGTGACATTTTCAATCTTACAAATAAAGTATCATAGACACTCATATACATGAAACCAATAAGATAGATGTTCTCACCTTAGATATTTTTACTTTCATAAGTAAATTATAAAGAAATTTTGATAAAAACATATATAACATCTTCAAAGTTGATCATAAAAATAATAAATTATGTATGTATAATAATAAAATATATGTATATAATTTGTCGGTTCAGTTCAGTTATTCCTTAGAATTTTTTTGAATAAAATCATAACCAAGCCAAATACTATCGATTTTCAAAAATCTAAAATCAAATCAAACCAAACCCAACCCAAATAAAATCGATTTATTTTATCAATTTGGTTCGATTTTTCGGTTTGGATCGATATTTATCCAAATCGTAAACACCCTATGTAGAAGTATACAATAAATGAATGAATCCATAATCCATTCAAATACTCTTTAGAGCAACTTTCACATATAACAAACATAAAAATCTTATTTGTATGTTATAGCTATAGTTTGCATAATTGCGCTTTGTAGCAAATTTTATGTTTGTTATGGAGCTTTTGATTTGTATAATTCGCTACAAACATCCAATTTTATACAAATTGTTCAGTTTTGTATAAATGAATTTATACATTGTAATGTGTATAATAAGATCTGTATTTGTATAATTATAAGTGTATAGATGAAAATATGTGTATTTGTATTTGTATATACACTTTTCTCTCGCTTTATACAAACACAAACGCATTTTATACATTTATATTGAAATGTATAAAATGGCTAATTGTATACCGAAAATGACTAATTATATATCAAATCAGATGACAAAAAAGGGGATGTTTGTTGCGAATTACAATTAAAATAAACTATGACTATAACATTTAATTTGAATTAATAATTTGTTATTTCATACAATTTTTTCTACTCTTTATGAGTGAAATTTTCTTCATAGTGCATGATTATTAATTCAGGTCAAATTAGCTATAGTTACCTAGATTAATTATGTAATATTCAAGACAAACTAAATTATTATTATTAATCATAAATATAAGGAAAAATAACTAGAATACACAACCTTAGTTAATATATTCACAATAACTCTCTACTATTTTAAAAAATTTCAAAAATCCCTATTTTCCCAAAAACTAAACTACAGTAGATATATTATTATTAAAAATTCCAAACCATTAGTTACCACCCCTAAATTTACTCTCCTCTAATTTCTCCCACTTTACTGTTCACAAACACTTCCCTTCCAAAAGATTCTCCTCCATCTTCTCAACAGATTCATATTCCAAGTTTGAATTTCAAACTATTTCGCACTCCATTCAACTAATTTCAGAATTTGAAATAGGCAGTCTCTTCATCTTCAACTTTTTTCTTTCGTTTTTTTTAATTTTCTAATAATTCATGGATCATCCGTATTTTAGTTTGGGGATTACCTAAATAGTCAAAAACTAAAAAGGAGGCACATGCAAAAAGGCTCAAGAAAAGGGGTAGAAAGGTCGCCTTTGCCATATCCAGATCTGCACTACCAACGGTATGTATTTTAATTTTTTTTATTTTTTTTTGTAATTTTTTGTATTAACATGTAATGAGTTTTGTGTAAGAGTAAATACATTATTGTTAATTAAAAATTATTATGTATATTGATTAAATTCTTCATTTGTTACACAAAACCCTAATTTTTGATATATTTGTTTATTTATTACGACTAATGTATCAAAAAGTTAAAATTCAAATAATGAGATAGAACTGTTGATAGTTATTATTAATTTATCAAATGGTTGTTTTGTGTGTCATTTATTCATTTTACCAGAAAAGGCATTATTGGTCATTTTTTTTGTTTTCAAAAGTGTATGAAAGTTTAAAGTTCAAATTAGAGGATTACATGTATGTTGCAGAACAACATAATGTTTCATAATTTGGTTTATTGTTTCTATTAAGTATCAAGTTGACTAATTCATAATCCGTAGTTAGTATTATGTATCAAGTATAATTTTACATTTTTATGTATCATCTGAAAGCTTATTGTTTCTATAAAGTATCAAGTTGACTAATTCATAATCTGTAGTTAATATTATGTATCAAGTACAATTTTACATTCTTATGTATCATCTGAAAGCTTATTATTTCTATTAAGTATCAAGTTGACTAATTCATAATTTGTAGTTAGAATTATGTTTCAAGTACAATTTTACCTTCCTATGTATCATCTGAAAGCTTATTGTTTTTATTAAGTATCAACATCATATTTATAATCTGTAGTTAGAATTACGTATCAAGTACACTTTTACATTCTTATGTATCATCTGTAAGCTTATTGTTTCCAGGGCACCCTTGTTTCTATTAAGTATCAACATCATTATGTATCTTCTTTTTTTAGTGATTGAGGAATGTTCGTAGTTGCATTTGCTGAATTCTTGAGTGACAAAATCAACATGTCATATGATAGCTTTCGAAGTGATTATCTTCGCAAAAATATGCAACGCTGTTATGAAGTATGGTCTCGACAAGGCCAATGCTGGATATGTTATCGACAATGATGACCCTCCAAGGTTGAAGAGTGTCTTAAACCCAGTAGCAGAAAATGAACTTGTTAATGTAGGCTAGTTAGTTTTCTATGTTATTGTTCACAGACATATGCAATGCTTTTTGTTTTTTAAGATATATTAATTAGTGTTTTGGAGTATTTATTGCCCTTATAATAATATAGTTTTGATTTTGGAAGAGTTTTGAGGTTTAAAAATGTTTATTTTCGCTTTTAATTTTATGTTTAGTTCAGTTAGGACTTCAGAAATTATCTATCTGTTACGTGTGATGATAATGACATTTTTTATCTGATAAGTATGATAATAATTACATTAATGAAATTTTGTGACTGAAAAATTATGCACCACATTTCTGAAGCTTTTTTTGGACGAACAGAGATAAACAATTCAAAACTTGTATTTTCTAATTATTTTAGTGTTTCATATAGACTGAAACTGAATGTTTGAAACAAATAAATTTAGCCATATTTTGAGGGACTTAATAACGGTAGTGTATTTGGGGGATGTAATTAAATTTTCAGTTTCTAATTCCTTACCTCACGCAACAAACTGATAATCATACATCCAATATAATGTATCACACGGCGTAATGATGTATCCGATACTTATTAAAAAGATGAGATTTTTGTAATTTGTGAAAGAATAGGGATAAGAGGTAATTTTTGTTTTACACTATGTGATTTGCATAGTTTTACTAAAAATAATGCTGTAGACCCGATACTCCAAAAGGTCCGGATCCGGATGTTTGTAAAACGAAATGAGAAAATTTACCGACTTAATGAACCTTCAATCCTCGTGACACAATAAGAACCAATCAGAGAGCGAGTATATGTCCTCGCGGATCGTGTAGAAAAGTAACTCCAGATCGCAACCGTTCATTTGATACTAAGAAAACACAAAAAGAGCTACTATCAACCGTCGAACCGTACTTCTAAAAAGCACACACGGTGAAAGAAATCCTAACCAACCCCGGCTTTCACACGTTCTATAAATACCATCAACACAATAGATCTCAATCCACGTTTGCTCTAAACAGAAAAGTTCTTCGTCTACCAGAATTTTCAAGCTTTTTAGAAGCCTTCAACTTCAAGCAAATTTAAGGTTCGAGTTCTTGTTTCTCTTCTTTATTCATCAAAGTTAGTTTAATTTTGAATTTTAGTCATGATTTCTTCGTTTCGATTGCGATAATTTCTCTCTTTTCTTTTTTATTTTAAGTTTGAAATCCTAGGGTTTTGATTTGGGGATTCTTGGGACTACCGCTTCGTATAACTGGGTTTCTTTTTTCTTGTTCTTCTAAGATCTGAAATTATGATGAATTGTTCTCTTTTTGTGTGTTGAATTTGTATGTCGATCCAAATCTAGAGCACAGGAACCCTAGGATTCGTGATTTAATTTCATATGCTCAAATTCATGAATATTAACCGAAGATAATTATTATTTGCAGAAAATCAGATGGCTCGTACGAAGCAAACTGCCCGTAAATCTACTGGAGGAAAGGCTCCAAGGAAGCAACTTGCCACCAAGGCCGCTAGGAAATCTGCCCCAACCACTGGAGGAGTCAAGAAGCCTCACAGATACAGGCCTGGAACCGTTGCTCTTCGTGAAATCCGCAAGTACCAGAAGAGTACTGAGCTTTTGATCAGGAAATTGCCATTCCAGAGGCTTGTTCGTGAAATTGCTCAAGACTTCAAGACTGATTTGCGTTTCCAGAGCCATGCTGTGTTGGCCTTGCAAGAGGCAGCTGAGGCTTACCTTGTTGGGCTCTTTGAAGATACAAATCTGTGTGCCATTCACGCCAAGCGTGTTACAATCATGCCCAAGGACATCCAGCTTGCCAGAAGGATTAGGGGAGAAAGGGCTTAGAATGCCCTGCTTTGTCGTTGCTTAGATTGCTAAAGCCTCTTTTGCAATTCTGTTTTTTTTTTCTTTGTTCTTTAGGATATTCGTATTTGATAGGTTAATAGATATGGATGGTTGTGGATTACTGGCTATTTGACAATATATGGTCCTTTTTATTCGTATTTCTCTTGTCAATATACATTCAATGTTCCTCCTGATTATGGTTTCAGCAAGTTGCATGAAACCCTACCGGCTATAATAGCAATGCTCGATGGATTTCTGTTTTGGGATATCAATTTGATGTCATTAGAACCTTTCAATTACTCCGCTTTGTTGATGCTATGCTCTAGGGTTTGCTTATTGTGCTTGATTTTCTGGTGTCGTACCCCTTTAACTTTTTTTCCAAGCACTGTTCAATCGAACGCTTCTTAAATTGACTGTTTTGTTAATTACAACTTTTTTTTAATTGAGAATGCCAAAAGTTGTTGCGAGATGAGCACTTCTAAAGCTAATCGAGACTTGTTAAAATTTGAAATGTTCAAAACGTTATCGATTAACGAGTCTGAAAAATAAAAAATTACATCTTATCTGTTCTACTCTTGGGAAAACCAAACGGATTTGAATTGTTTTGTGGTTGGAATAAATAACAAAAAAGTTATGCTAGTCAATACTAAAAACATGTAATTTAATCGTGTTTTTTAATTGAATGATGGCTTATTTGAAATTTTATGATTCGTACAGTCCTTAATTATTTTAGTTCGTCCATCAATCCTAAATAAATAGGAGTAATTCAACTAGTCAACAGAACTGCCCTATTGAAGATACGTGGTCTAAAATAGTCATTTTGGAAAATTAAATATAATTACTCTTTGTATTCACTAAGTATTATACTTGGGGGGGAATAACAATTTTAGTCCTTAAATATTGGCATATTATTGTGATTTGAATCTTCTTATTACATGACTTAGCGCATTTAGCTTTTAATTAATTAAAATATGTTAATTGGTCTTTAAAGCTAATGAATGTTAAATTTTTTGATTAGGAATACAAAGTATTTAACAGATTCATAAACGAAGAGTTAAATAGACGTGTACAAAGAAGATGTAAAATAGGTACATTACGACATTGCCAGTCATCAATAAAACAATTGTGAAAGTAAATTAAATATTCAGTCCTTAAAGATAACACTTGAGTAGTGGTAGAAGTAAAAGGATAGGTGAGAATGAACATATATATGTTGCTTTAGACAGTTATCATCAAATCTATAAACTTTAGCAATTATTAGTTGAAGGTCAAATTTGTTAAGTTGTATAATAGAAGGATCAAAATCACAATAAGATAATTATTCGAGGACCAACATTACTATTTTTCCTATCTTTTTAATCGATAAGTGTGGAAAAGATAGCAATAATATTAATTTGAGATCAAAGGATAATTTAGTCAAATTATTCCTTTAAGTAATTTTATTTTCGCTCAAATTGTCTATTGTGATCTTTAAGTAATAATTATCTCAAATTAGTTATCACTTACAAAATTTAAGATAAAGTTAATTATTATTTTTATTTTATCCTCTGGAGTAATTATTTTTGTACTACAAGCACCTCTTATTCAAATAAAACAAATATTCAATGATAAAAAAAATATTTTAAATATAATTAACGATAAAATAATCTCATAGCTAATATTTTTTTGATAAACAGGTAAAAGAAACATGACTAAAATTTGAATAAAAGAAACTACTTCCTCTGGTCCCATATTAGTTGATCATTTTCCATTTGACATGGTACTTAAGAAATCACAAATAATAAAAAACTTTTTGAGAATTTTACAAATACACTTTAAAAAAAATTAATTATAAGGATAATATAGGCAAAAAAATAACTAATGATTCTTTGATTTAATAAGGTGGTCAACTTATTATGAGATATTTATGGTTAATATAATAATCAACTACTATGAAAAAGAGGAAGCATATTTTCAAGGAAAAACTACATAAATGAGTCATAAAGTCTAAAATAGTTACAAGTTCATACCCAAATCCAAAGTAATTTATGAAATACCTATTATCTCATAAATAACTACAACCCATACCCCTCATTCATTAAAATTGATAATTTTCGCTTGACTGATACTCAATATCATATATATATATATATATATATATATATATATTGTTGTGGTATCATTAAAGTTTCTTCTTCAGAAATTACTCATTCATCAATGATACTATAAGAGTATACATATATTTTAGGTATCATTAAGGTTTCTTGTTCAAAAATTGCTCATTAGTCAATGATACTATAAATGAGAAATTTCTGAATGAGAAATTCCTTAATGATTTCAATACAATATATATATATATATATATATATATATATACTGCTTTAGTATCAATTAAGTGAAATTATTATCCTTAATAATATCAATACATTATATGATATTGATTTAGTACCAGTTAAACAAAATTATCAGTCCTAATGATACCAATACAATATATGATACTGATTCAGTTAAGCGAAATCCGTTAGGGGTATATAATATAATTATTTAGTGGGATATGAATATAAATGAGTATATGTTTGTAATTATTTTACTTTTATGAGGTATTGACTTAATTTCCCCTATCTTCAAGGATTGTGAAAAACATATGACAAATAAAATGAATGGAATGGGTACATCTCTTATAAAAAAAGGTTTGGATGGAGGGAATAGTATTTTTTTAAATTTTGAACTAATTTTAATTTGACTAACCTTGAAAATATAAGGGTCTGTTTGGAAAGTCACCAGGTAATTTGAATTGGTGTAATTACTAGGGTAGTAATTATCAGCCTAGTAATTACACAGTCTAGTAATTACACTGACATGTTTGGTTGCCACAGTGTAATTACACTGTAATTACACATGTTCTGTTTGGATACACAATTGCAATAATAAAATTATAATAAAATTTTAAAATAAAAATTAATCATTTAAAATTTATACTAGACAAATAAGAAGGTTTCTAAATGACATTAAATTAAACATTTAAGATACATATTCTTTTTTGAAAATATATTAATTAATAAACATATTTATTGTAACTAATATTATGAAAAAATAATTGATTTATATTTTTTCAAATTAATATATTTCAATTGAATTGATCGTAACAACTAAAAGTATGAAGTTTCTATGAACATTGTGAAATGCATATTTGATAAAAAGAATAGTAATATATAAATAAAATATCATAAATTATTAAATGTTTGACAAAAATATAATCTATCAAGTCTAATTAAAAAATGACGTGCAATGTAAATTCAATATTACTAAAACAAATGAAACTGAAAATATAACATAAGTAATAAATTCAAAACAAAAAACTTAACATAATACTCTTATAACAAATTTCAACATAACAATAAATATGATTTGTTTTTATTTCTTCATAATAAAGAAAACGTAAGTCTATAACCTTACTTAACAATAAATTATATTTTAATTTAAAATTAGAATACTAATAAAATTATGCTAATGAGAAAATAAACATGACATAAAGAAATAGATAATACGAGAAAATTACATTGAGTCACGTAAAGTAAGGTTGAGAACAAGAATAAAATGAAATATAATAATACAAAATAAAAAAATAGACTTTTACAAATTTTTAGAATAATAAAAATAAAAATAATAGAAGTAAAAAAATAAAAGTAGAAATTAAAAAAAATGAAAAAGTAATCAGGTGGTAATTACACCATGTAATTACCAGTAATTCACAGCATCTGCTTGTGAATTGTAGAGTGTAATTACCCCCTGCCAATTACATCAATTACCTGACCAAGTAATTACCTATCCTTCCAAATAGGACAAGACAGTGTAATTACACCAATTACACCAAATCCAATTACCAGGGTGTCCTTCCAAACAGGCCCTAAGGAGCCGTTTGGTAGGATGTATTAATTAAAATAGTCCTTGGATTAAAATTTAATCCCCCTAATACAATGTTTGGTTACACAATTCAACTCAAACATACCTAATACATGGATAACTTAATACATCATATGTGGTCTTATCTAATACCAAGGATATCTAGGGATTACTAATCCCAGGTTTACTAATACTTGGACAAGGAAACGAAATGACTGAATTGCCCCTCAATTTCTATATACATCCTTCAGAATTGGTAAAGAATTCACGCTATTCTGCTTTTTGGCGCCTTTCCTTTTTCTCTCGCGGTCTTTTCTCTTCTATGGCTATGGAGAAGGCGTAGCGTGTAGGGTTAATTTCTGAACAACATCGTCACTATTAGCCGTGTAGGGTTTATACAGGTTTGAACTTTTTTCTTTTCTTCTTTTCTTTCGTTCTTGTTCCCAAATGGTTGTAAATAGGTGAATTGAAATGTGCTTGCAAATTAATTAGTATTTTGTGGGTTGAAAGTTTCTGAACAACATCGTCACTATTAGTATTTATGCTTAAAATTTATAGATTTCTGTTCATATTGTGTGTATTGATTTTGTCTAATTTTTATGAAAAACTTAGGTGTTATTATGGATCTTCAACATCTTTCGAGTACTGATTATATTATTCTTGAGGAGATAATGTGCCAACAATTTCTTGTAGTCCTTATTTGCCTTTTTATGGCTATTCATGGTCATTCACTAAGAAGGCAATACAGAAATGTGCATGAGATTAGGTACCGTATGAGTGTCCGAATACCAAAAGTTATTTCTCACTTAAATTGTATCATAAATGATAGTGACATTGTATGTATCGACAAGTTAAGAATGGATAGAAATGCCTTTCCTAATTTAGTTCTATTTACTAAGGATGTCGGAGGTTTGACTGATGGTAAATATATGTCAAGTAGTGAAAAGCTAGCAATGTTCTTAAACATCTTGGCTCATCACGAGAAGAATAGATCTATCAAGGTCGATTATATTAGATCTGGATGGAGCGTAAGTCAAGCTTTTAATGAATGCTTGAGAGCTATACTCAAACTAACTTCATTGTTCCTTGTCAATCCTAAACCGATCCTTGAAGATGAGATTGAAGATCGATGGAAATGGTTTAAGGTAGGTGAGATTTTTAATTTTAGCATTTGTATATGACTAAATAAGGTAATTTTACTAAGACTTCGTTTTAGTGCGAGATAACTCTATATTTTTTATAGGGTTGTTTAGGTGCACTAGATGGTACTTACATTCACATTAGAGTTCCATCTGAGTACAAACCAAGATACAGGACAAGGAAGGGAGATATAACTACTAATGTATTGGGAGTTTGTGATAGAAATCTCAATTTTACTTATGTGTTACCTGGTTGGGAAGGATCAGCTGCTGATGGTCGTGTATTACGAGACGCTGTAGTGCGGCGCAATGGTTTAAAAATTCCTGAGGGTATGCCATGTATATATGCATATAAGAACACAAAAAGAATGATGTATTTATTTTTTTGAAAAGGTAACTGTACATGAAAAGAATAGAAAGGTAACTAAATTTTATGTTTATATTATAGGTAATTATTATTTATGTGATGGAGGATATACAAATGGAAAAGGTTTTCTTTCACCTTACCGAGGGTATAGATATTGGTTAAGGGATTGGCAAGGTGACAACCCCCCACCTCGATGTCGAGAAGAACTTTTTAATATGAAGCATGCTAGGGCTCGTAATGTTATCGAAAGGGCGTTTGGTCTCTTGAAAGGACGTTGGGGAATTCTTAGGAGCTTTTCGTGGTACTCTGTTAAAGTTCATAACAGAATAATAAGTGCTTGTTGTTTGATTCACAACTATATCCGTAGAGAGATGGATGTGGATCCTTTAGACATGGATATGGAAGAACAGGTTGAGAATCAACCTGAACATATTGATGTTGTTGAATCGTCTGAAGAGTGGACCACTTGGAGGGATGAGTTGGCTCAATCAATGTGGAATGCAAGATCTAATCAGTGATGACATGTTAAGTTTTTTTTTTTGCGATGAATTTAGCTAACTTGGGCTTTTAAGGTCAGCCTTATATCAAAAGTTAGAATCTCTCCTCTGTTTCAGTGATCTAGTGATCTTATACAAGTTAATTGGGAGTCTTGAATCCTTTTTGTAACTTTTGGCATATGTTATTATGAAATTTGTGGTTTTCTTAATATGTTATAATTATTACTCTTCATCACTAGTAAATTTTGACTTTATTTTACAACTCCAATCTCCTAAAACTAAAAGAACCCTGCAACACTAGTGCAGATTATAATTTTTGAAAGTTGATAGAGGAAAAGAAAACTAAATGATAAGTATGCATATAGAGAGAAAGGAATTAGTATTGCTCTTCATATATTTGATTTCCAGCAACCATGAAGATGGTCATTAGAGAAAGGAACAAATTGATAACGTCTACATAAAAGGATATAGAGAAAGGAATTTACCTATGTATTGTAGACAATGTATCCACATGAAGCTAGTCAGTTTCTTGACATAATTCCACTTGTGAATGTTTGCACGACCACCTGTTGAATGCAATATCTTTTAAGCTACTAATCTGGAGAGCCAACTACTTCCTGAATATATCAGTTTCTCCTACATTTTTTTATTTATATAAAGTGTTTCTATAATCAGTTCTTAAGTTCATGATAAGGTTATAGATTTATTCAACTATTTAATGTGTGCATTATTGTTATTATCATTATAATTTTCTTCATATTTATTTTTATAATCTATTCCACAAGAATATAAAGGCAAAATGAGCAGTCAAACATCTTCCCACGCATCAAAAAGATCAAGAAATTCAACTCCTTCGACTAGAAGGACATGGACTGCAGCATAAGAACAAACTCTTATAGATGGATTAAAAGAGTTATGTGTTAATGGTTGGAGAGGTGATAATGGAACCTTCGAGCCGGGATACCTAAAGGAATTAAAATGTTATTTATGTGAACATCATCCTAACAACGGATTGAAAGGTGAACCACATGTCTTATCTAGAATAAGATATTGGAAGAGATGTTATGCAAGTATAGCTATGCTAAAGAGTCGAAGTGGATTGGGATTTCAATACGGTGATGGAGCTATAATAGTTGATGATCCCAAATTTTGGGATGACTTCCTAAAGGTAATTAATACTTTATTAAAGTTATTATAATTTTTTACACTATCTGCCTGATGCTTTTAATTGTTTAGATCTGCACTTCTTCACTAGGGAGTGAATTTGTTGAATATGTTTCATGTGGACTGTCCACGACTATCACTAGAAAAGTAAGCGTGCTTCTGCATCCACTTCAATAATATCCATCATACTAGCCTCGTGTTCTCACGGATAAACAAATGAATGATCTTGTTTCAGACTTTACGTTCCTTGTGTTCTAAATTTATGGACAAAAGTTGCGGGTAATCCTCGATTTGCCCTCAACTATAAACATTGATAGGGGATAACTAACCACCAATCTCGTCTATATTTGTCTTGTTCCAGAGTTGAATGTTGGTAAGGTTTAAGTCAACTACTGCTTTGGGAGTGCACACCCTGTCCCGGGCCACCAAAGCCTTTCTCGATATGAATTAGTGTCAACCCAAACATAGCTGCTACAGTGAGCATTAATAAGTCTTTTAGCTTGAATACTGAAAAGTTGTGTCCAATAAATTTAGATTTCAAAGATATCGATTGCACAACTTAGAGAGCTTTTTAGTTGTTCATGATTATAGTTATGTATTTATATATGTGTTCTCTGAAAGAGTTATTAACTGAGTAATATTATATCACTTTATTTTATTTTGTGATTATTTACTAGGTTGATCCAAATGCCAAAAACATGAATAAGAAAAAATGGCCGATGTTTGTGGATTGGGAGGAAATCTTTGGCAAGGATAGAGCAACAGGGGAGTTTGCAGAAGGCCTATTAGATGCTGTTGAGGAAATTCAAAGGAGTCAATCCTCAGTACTGTTTAACGATATGAGTTTGGAATTTCCTATTGATCTTGATGGCGATGAAGAAGCTGGTTCTAGTCATAGACCTAATGTGACTACGGGAGAAGCTGGAAATGCTACTGGAGCTGCTACATTTCCTGAAGCATCTCAAAATGAAAATGCTGGAACATTTGAACCTGAAGAAGCTGGATTTCAACAAACCAATAAACAAGGTGAGTATACCAAAAGGTCGTCTAATGTCAATGAAAAGGATAAATGCAAGAAAAGAAAAAAGATCCCGGAGAATGATTCTGAGATATTTCTTAAGGGTATGGTTGAGGTTATAAAAAACTTTACTGACAGTCAAGACAAACGAATGGGTGCCTTGATTGACAAGATTGGAAATCGTGACCAATCTGATCTTCGTGATCAAATTTATTCCATCATTGAATCCCCTATATTTGACTTGTACTCCACAGAGCAACGCATCAAAGCAACAATGGTTCTTTGTGATGACGTCAAAAAGATGGAATTATTTATACGCATGGGTGAACTTGAGCGTCAAACTATGATGTTTATGATCATCAATGATAAACTTTAAAGTATGGTAGACTGCAAGATAAGTGGAAAGTTCATTTTGCTAGTTTTGCTTAATTGAAGACCTTTAAATATTTGAGTGTAGTGTCACTTTCTGATACCTCAGATTATGTCCTATATTGAAAATGATTGGCGTAAGACGGACACGAGGACAATAGCTTTTGTGTAACTAGAATCTATGGAAAAACTTGAATGTGGTGTCACTTGTGATAAACTCAAATGATGTATGTAAATGTGTTTATTTGGCTTGCTTTTGTCAATTGATGTACATGATTCTCGCTTCTCCTTTTCTCAGTATATACTGAAATGTGAAATGAATGGATTTTCGATACGTATATTCTTTCTTTTGCTTCTTTTCCTTTGTTGTGCTTCACTTCAAAGTCAAGCTGATATAAGTGAGACTGAGTTGTCTGGCCTTCTGTATTTGCTCACTGCACTTATTTTGTGTGGTTATTTAATTTCCATATCGCTCTATATCTTTATTGAAGTCGCGGAAGTCCTACATGCATCATTCATAAATCAGGATATCAGTATGTACGATGATGAGACAGGAACTCCTGCTCAAGCTCATACTTTAAACTTAAATGAGGAGTTGGGGTAGGTTCATACAGTCCTTTCGGACAAAACTGGCAGCAGCTAAAAATAGACTTTGGATTCGCTTGAAACAGTTGAAAGAAACCTCAAACCTGCAATAAAGGGGTTCGTCTTTGGATTATGCAGCATTGTCTATGATAGATTGGCAAAGAAAATGTTTGAAGTTTTACAATGTTCAATATTTGGGATAGAGACAATGTAGCAGGAAAGCTTAAGGTGGCTTGCTCATGTTGCTTAATTTTACTAACTTTATATGAAGCTGTGATCAAACTATATTTCTTTTAACATTAGAAACTTCTGCTGCTGTCCACACTACTTGAACTTTAGTTTTATTTTATATTTTCTTGTTTTCTTAAGAGAGGAGGGAGGTATGCCTTGGTCGGGGTACTTAAAATAACGTCTTCTCGTTTATGACTTGAGACTTCCTCAAGTGAATTAAATTTGTTAAGCACTTCGTATTCAAGTTTTAAACGTAATAAATATGGTAATTACATGAAATAGATAACATAATAATTCAAGGGTAAAATTGGAAAAAAGTTCTTTTTTAAGAGTTCTAAGCCAAACACAAGATTTGAATAAGCAATAAACCAAACACTGGATAAAAAATAATCCCTGCATTGCTAATCCCTGCATTACTAATCCCTGCATTATTAATCCCTGCGTTACTAATCCCTGCATTACTCATTTTTGTACCAAACGACCCCTAAGTGTTTAATTCTCAATGGCCTCCCCACTTATTAATTATTTAACTTTTAATTTATCACCATCTTTATACTTGAACTTGATTTAAAAGAAAAAATAGAAAAGAGGGAGGCAGCTACACTCTTTTGCCCTAATCGCTTACACTCTCCAATGGCTAAGAATCGTCCCGAGAAAGAAGAAGAAGAAGAATCCGGCGAGGAGATGGAAGTTTCTTCGCCGGGGAACGCGGATACTGAATCGGGATCGGGATCGGGATCAGAATCAGAATCGGAATCGGAACCTGAACAAGAGCAACCCCCGAAAAAACCACCAGTTGCCGCTCCAAAGAAGCCACAACCTCAGGATGATTCTTCATCTTCTACTGAAGAGGAATCTGATTCCGAGTCCGAACCGGATCCCGAAACACAGAAACCAAACCCGGTTGTTAAACCCATAGCTTCCAAACCCATGGATGAGCCGAAAAAAGCTGCGCCTATCGTTGAGAAGAAACCTAAATCGAAAGCAGATGCTACTGCAAAACTCACTTCTCCGAAGAAGTCCACTGCCGTTGTCGGAGCTAAACGCCCGGTGGATGACGGTGAAGCTAAGGAATCGAAGAGGTCTAAGAAGAAACCAGAGAAACAGATTGAAACTCCAGTGTCGAAAACACCCACTGATGACGTGAAAAGGCAGTTGTTTCAGCGATTGTGGAGTGAAGATGACGAAATTGCTATCCTGAAAGGCATGACTGATTACAGGTCGAAGAAAAAAGCCGACCCAGTTGCGGATTTGAGTGCATTTCATGAATTCATCAAAAAGTCTTTGCACGTAGATGTGTCTAAGGCCCAGTTGCAAGACAAGATTAGGAGATTGAAGAAGAAGTATGAAAACAATGCTGGGAAAGAGAAGAAGGGAAAGGAAAGGACTTTCTCCAAGCCCCACGAGCAAAAAGCCTATGAATTGTCTCAAAAGGTTTGGGGTAAAGAGAAAACTGACAAAGTTCCAGTTGAAGTTGTTAAAGTGGAGAATGTAACTGCAAGTAAGGGACGAAGCAACAGTGGAGATGAAGATAATGGGGTTTTGGATGTAGTGAAGGAGGAGAAACTGAGTGCGGAGGTGGAGAAGACTGTGGAGGTTACACCTAATTTGAATTTGACATCGTGTGGGGGAAGTGTTGCTGCTCTGGAGAAGTGGCTTGAAGAGTATTCTGGGTTGCTTAGCATTGAGAAGTTGGATGAGATTAAGAAAAAGTCGACATCCTTGCAGGTAGCTGAGGCTGGCTTGTGCTTGAGGAGGGTGAATCTAATTGCTGAGCAGGGGGAGCTGATGCGCAAAGCTATGAATGCTTCTGGGATTGATATCTAGAAAGAGTAAACTATTTTAAGGCAAACTTCCTTTTTAGGTTTGTTTCTGCTTGTAGTTCTGTTAATTTCTCATTTTGTGTAGTTTCAGCTCATTGTCTTTACAAGTAGCATATTTTGGAGCTTGTTATGTGTGATTTGCTATTTGGATATAAACCATATTTGTCTCACTCTCTAGTAATTACAGCTGCTTATTTAGCATTTGAATGTTTGCCTGTTAAGTTTGCTGATTCATGGGTTAACAGAATCATAGTTGGTGTTACTCAAGGGCTTCTAGTTTGATGCTGTCATATATGTTGGTATGTGAGGATATATGAATTAGCTTTGAGTGAACTTCCTTCTTGGATCAGCTTATGTATAGAAGTTTTATTAAGGTTGAATTCCATGCATCTTTCTGTGCAATATGGCCACAAACATATTGGTTTCCTTGTATGACTAGGGATGTCAGAAAAGAACACCGTTAGAGCATTTGGATGTAGCTATTTTCTCAGCCTCTCAACCAATACTTTAGTTGGATGTAGTTCTTTCCTCCTCACATCAGTTTCTTAGACTTTGTAGATTTTTAATCTGCTTCTAGAACAGAAGAGTTTCTTAGAAGATAGTGTTCTTTACTTGAGGGAGGAAATTGGAAAAAAATACTTTCGTGAAGACACTTAACAGTAATAATAAGTGTTGGAGCAATGGAGGTTGTCTAAAATGCCATTGTAATGCATACAAAGATTTTTGATAAATGCTACTGTATTTTACTGGCTTGTTTTTAAGAATTTCAAGGATTCTAGCTCTGCGAGCAAAAGTCCAATGTACATTTGGCTAGCTGAGGGGATAGGGTTGTTCCTGCTTTGTCACTCTGTAGTCTTGATGGAAAGAATTCTGCAACTGCAACTAGGAAGTTCTTTCATCTTGGTTGTTTCCGAGACGAGGATATAGATAAGTAGATCTTGATGAATGTTAGGTACTGGAAATTTATTTTGTATCATCATCTTTGGATTTTTTATTTCAATATCTTGCTCCATAAGATTGGTTAGCATTTACTGCTTCCTCTGTCATGTTACTATGAGTTCATTGGACTGTTGCTGAGACTTGTAGCTTAAAAGGAAGGATTTGGTGGAATTGAGTTTTGGGGTGAGATAGTTTATGGTTCCTTGATTATTTTCCTTTCCTTTAGTAGCTCTTCTTCAACTAGGTCGGACGCGCAAACCGCTCCTCCTGAGTTAACTATGTTATTTGATGTTATCTGCAAAAAATAGTGCAGAGTAGCTTCGACTCAGAGGTAAGGAATTACCTCTGGAGTGGAACTTAGCAAGATCTTATTCAGGCTGTTATGGGAGACTATGTTTGAGTTGGCTTTTAGAAGATCTCTTGGATTTTATAGATTTAACCCACAATGTCCTCTAGTATGAGCATACTTAGTGGATCTCTATACCACTCTCTTTCTGTTCTATAACGGAGGGTCCACGTTCAACAGATTGAACTCACAGAGCACTTCAGGGCTCCATTCAAGAATACTTGGTGCCCTTTATGAAGATTGATGTAAAATTAAGGATGTGGCAGGGTTTAACTCTAAACGCAAATGACATTGAGCTTGTATTCATAGACCTCAATGCTAATGGTGATTCTCAAGGTTCAACGAATGAATGAAGCTATGATCATATATCTGGAAAGAGATGATGGTCATCTCTCTCCCTCTTCGTCAGTAAATTTGAAAATAATGAGTGGCAACTATCTTTGTGAGAAACTTCTACCTGCACCTTCTTGCTTCAATTGCTGTCCCTGATTCTAATTAGTTTTGAATTCAGAAATGTAATGCCTTCATTAAGTCCTGCCGTTCTGGTATCTTGAGTTCCTTCTGTTTGCACACCAATTTGGTTGTCTATTCTGTGTGTGTTCAGTCTAATTATGACATTTACTTTAACCTGTATCATCACACCGTATCCCCAATTTCATCATGTTTTTCTGCTAGTTACGTGTTCCTCTGGTGATACTATCCTGGTAATTCTTGATCATTTTGTTTACCCACTAAGAATTTTCTGGTTCTTGCTAATTCCGAAATGCTTGAAGACTTGGCGGACTAATGTGTTGCATAAACCAAGATTGCTGCCCATAGAGGCAAAGCTCAGGGGCAATCAGTTATTTGCCGAGGGAATTATCCCAAGTAAAACTTACTCATACTCAGTGTTTATACCAAGTTGATATATGCATGATATGTATTTGCACAAACTTTTAATACTTAACATGACTCATTAACATGCATTCTCACCCAATAATCAATTAACTATTGTAAGTTTACATCGTTTGGTGAGGTACTGTTATCCTCTCTACTCCTACTCAAACGTCAAGGAAAGACACGAGTCTAATCATGTTGAGGGTACTTACGCAATGATTCTCAAGAGTTCTCTAAAATCACGAGGGAGCAGCACTGAGTGCATGTACTAATGGTGATAACTGAAGTAATTGTAAAAAAGCTTAACACTGAATCGAGCATACTTCACGTTCAGAAATGCAGGTTTCATTCGTTGGTTAAACATTGAAACAATAGACTTATTCGTATAACCAGGAAGACAATGACTATAAACCCGATGAGCAAATATTTGGTATGAGCTAGGTGGCTGCAGATGCCCCTTGGAAGGAGCTAAATAGGAGGGAAATAAGCATTTATTTGTGTAATGATCAGTTCACATCATTTATAAAAATGTCAACAGCATTCCACTAGATGATTCATCACTGATAAGCTACACAAATTCGATGCATAAAATTGTATTTAGGAAGAGGATAACTCAAGTGATGATCCAAAATAACTTTGTTGTAACGGCAAACTCATTGAAGGCTTGAGCTAGATCCAATAAGAACGCCAAATTTTATTAGTAACAAAAATGGAGCCCCCATTCATTTGAGAATTCAGATGCAGCAAGGACGAGAACAATTTGGGTACTGCAATTTATAATGGTCCAGGGAAGGTTCCATTCTCTCTCTGCTCATTCCATCTGTCAACCTGCAGTCATATTCAAAAGCAACGAAGAGCACATGAAGCTGACAACATGAAAGTGTTAACGTCATGTAATAAAAAAAGAATCACCACCAGAAAGTTAATGAGTTACGAAGATATCACATGCTAACCATTAAAACAGTCTTAAGGACTGATTTGGTCTCCTGGAAAACACACATACACACAGCTGGTTTTTCTTTTGGCTAGTCCTTACTAGTCCACACTCAAACATTTGATCCTGGCTCTGATTTGATTTGTACTTAAGATCATAGCTGTAAGCTTTTCAAGCACATTTCAGCCATGTCCATCACAATACAATCACTACCCCGGAGGATACACAAATTGCTAACTTCACTTACATGTGACAACTAAAGGTGCTTGTTTACCACAAGATGGTATACAGAAGAGGGGATTATCATTATGTAGTAGATGATTCCTTTGTGAAAAAGTTGTGGAAACAACCAACCAAATACTGCTTCATTGTGTGTCTAGATCGGAACAATCATATACTGTTTCACTACTCTGCTACCCCTGAGCAGTTGAACCATTAAACGAACTAGCAACCAAGACAGATCAAGTTCTACTAGTAATTTCATGACTATCAATTGCTGACAACAATGCCCCAGCAATAATAAACACCAGAAACCACTGCTAACATCATGTAATCCCCACTCTTCACCACTAGCTTCCAGAATGTATATTTGATCGAGACAAAAACGTCTTTTTCAAGTAATATTGTGTGGCTGTGGTTAGGATGTCATTTTGCTGGCATATTACCTGATTGCCTCCTAACATTTTTAACTAGGATGACATATTGGGCCTCTTTGGATGGCCATAGGGATTTCAAATCCACAAGTCCTAGTCTTTTCCTACAGTTTAAACAAAAAGATTGTAAGAGTAAACTCAAATGCCAATGGATGTAGGTTCCCATTTCATGCTATATGAAATAATCTCCAATCATGAACCCAGATATTGGCACAGCTTGGCTCCCTTTGATAACAAAGATAGAAGAGTATCCATCTTCCTCTATACAGAGATAATGTGAGCAGGTCTATAACTGCTTCCTCCTTCCTTTCGACCCCCTCCCAATTTGGATTTTGCCAACAGTCTGTAACAAGTGTCAATCATGCTCTCCTTTATTCCCCAGATTCACTTGTTTTGTTGTCTCTAATTCACGATAGACATCTCTTTTGCTCAATTTTAGCATAAGTCAATTGTCTCTCGTGTTTTTCTTTATTTTGTCAACTCCCTCCCTCGCTACCAACCTAGCATCAATCAACTTTACCATGCCCTCCTATTAACTAGGAGTATTACTTCGCTTTCACATGTTGTAGTGGCTCTGCCGTTAATTTACAGAACTTCAGCTTACACTGATGTCAATCCTTTTCCTAATTTTCTTTTTAATTTTGAAATTTAAATTTGTACTCATGTTAGGTAAGTATATCTGACTGGATCTTGTAACATTATCCATTTGCTACACAAACTATTAAGAAGGCCAAGGATATGACTGTAAACAATTTTATTCAGTTTAAAACTAAACACACTTTCTACTTATACACCATATATCTAATTTTAATACGATGAAGCGAGCATTAAAAAGTAATGTATTTTGCACTAAAAAATCATATGATCCTCTGCATTACAATTCCAATATTACTTGTTCATTAGCCAAACGACCCCAGTGATAATAATTTCTATCAATTTTAAATTCATAGGCTCAAACCCATATTATTCTTGAATCTATCCATCCAATACTAAACATGAATTCCGTCTCATTAGTGGATGTCCACAATGTAATATATCCCACGTTTGCCAAAAGCTTAGTAAAACATGGAAATCAAGATTACTTAGCATACTAGCAAAAGCATATAAATATGGTCTAAAACTTTAAAACAAACATACCCATTCACCAGGGCAAAGGGATCGGTAGTACTTGGCAAACTTGTCACACTCAGGTGCACCTTCACCCTTTGCAGCTGTGCACCTGAAAGACAAACCAGTGATACGTAAGTGAGATTTTCTTATTTGATTAAAATAATACACAGAAAGAAACAGAAAAGAGGAATAGATTGTAAATAGCTGTGAATACTGACCGATGATACTCAACATATCTTGTAAAGCAGTGCCTCGTCTGATTTGTAGTAGGAAAGCGGAAGTCAGCAGGTGCTGTCTCAAGCTGATTGCCAATCATAATATAAACAACAGAAGACAGTCAATGCATATGCTATTGGCTAGTAAGATGGAGTCAAGATTGATGGTTAACTAAATCTAACCTTAATCTCAGGGGTTTCAACAGCAGACTCCTGATCTCCTGAGGTCTCATCTTCAGTACTTTCACTGCTTTCCTCACTGGAAGCCTCCACAGGAGGAGAGGCTTCAGCTGATTCAGTTACAGCTTCACTGCTTTCCTCAGGTGCAGGGGCAATTTTGATGCTCTCAACCACTGGAGTCTCCTCAGTTTTGGAAATAACTTCTTCAGCTGGAGCAGCTGAAGGGGTCTTAACCTCAGTTTCTTCCACCGGTTTTTCAGTCATGGGGGATTTCTCTTCGTGGTCTTTCAGTAAGTATTGCTGCAAATCCATGAATAGGGTAAAATTTGTCATTTGTAGGAAAAAAACTCTATCAAAGGCAAAGAAAAACTCAATGCAAAATAGTAATCCAAAGACTAGTATAATGCCCTGAAATTTTTAGATAAGAAAGTCAACGACGTGATTATAGCATTAAATCCTCATGTCAATATGGAAGAGTTAAAGAAATACAAGCTCCCAACTAGGTGAAAAAAAGATGTTAGAACACATTTCTCTACCTGAGGATCAATGCTAAGAGCTGCTCCAACAAAACAATGACGCGAGGGGCAAGCAATTTCAAAAAGGTGTGCACTTTGTAGGGTGAGCCATTAAGGGAACCATGCGAGAAGGATCACATTTTATGAATCTAAATTAAAAGATGGAAAAGAGAGAAAACATGTGGATAAAGATGGGTCCTTTTGCTTTTTGTTAGTAGGACTCTTCTCTAGTATGCTTCAGTTCTCCTTGTTGTCCTTTTTAAGGTCCAACATCCTGGCAGTAGAGGATACATATTACCAAGCAATGTGTACCTCTTAACCCAACCAGAGCAAGCTAGACGCCCCGCAGCAGGAAGCAGGAGCTGATAAGGTTGTTCATTACTTAGTTTAAGCACAATCCTATGTATTCACTAATGCTTTACTTCAGGATTTGACTTCAATAGTAATTCAATCACTTCTGATCAAAATTATCCTTTGGTGAAGAAATTCAAAGCAAAAGTAAACACAACTTTATTATGGAAATTTAACTTACAATATGCTCAAACAAATTGGTTACACACAGATCTTTAACTCCTTACACCTTTCAAGTTCCATCAACTGCTCGTGTAAATCAAAATCTCATTAACAGATAAGAAACGACTCAAGCAATTCTCAACATAATGAAATTCTTATAAATCAGAACTACTCCTAGTAAAATCACAATACTGGAGAATAACATCTTCCTTATATTTCTCCTATTTTCTTTCTCCAAAACTGACGCCTTTATTCAATAATAAATAAATAAATTCTCATTCACAAAACTAAAGCCAAATTGAAGATCGAGCTCGTGCGATCCTCTTTTTGCCAGATTCAAAACATCATAATGAATACAAATACATCACAAGTATTTCAAAAAACAAATTACGAACAAAGATAATCAATTATAATAAGAAAACGCAAACCAAATCGAAAGATGAAAATTGGAGTAGTAGTTGCTATTTACCTCAGATAAGGATGCAACATTTGAGGTTTCGACTGCGGCCATGGCTGAACTCAGCTGCGACGGCGGCCGATGGGCTAAACTTAGACCAAGACAATAGCTAATGTAGGTTTTCTGGTAGAATGTTCAGTTCGTCAGTATTGAGTCTATGGGAGCGATGGCGAGAGAAAATGGGGAAGCATCTGATCTGCCGTTTGAAAAGGCTCACATCTCGAGGTGAAGCCCATGGGCCTTGAAGTCTCTGTCGTTATTGGGCTGTATGACCCAATGAGTGGGCACAGCAAATCAGCCTAATTTGTCTCGTCTGAAATCTGTTTAGTAGATGACCTTTTCTCTCTCGCGCTAGTAACTTATGAATTTTTTAAAATTTATTTGAAAATTAAAAACAATTATGAAAAAAGTAAATTAATGCAAAAATTGACCAATAGTCTCTTGATATTGTTACTGTAAAACTGAATAATATATGAGCAAATATTATAGAATTTTCTAGTCTAATGTTGTCTAAAAAGGTTATTTTTCAAACACTATATTTACACAACTTTTTAAAATAAAAAAAATACAATTCAAATGGTGACTTAAAAATGAGACATTTTGTTGTAAATCATTCAATCCAACTCTATTTAAAACTAGGTCTATTGTTCCCTCGTTCAAGAAATTAGGAAATTTACCCATTGAACTTTTGACTATCACTTACTCCATGGGACAAACCTTTAATCATATCAACAATTTCATTGAAGCTCAATTCCTATAGAGTTTAATTCTCTATAATGTTGAAAAATAAAAACTTCTAATTAGTCCGAGGATTTGTAACATTTGTTAAGGAATGTATGACTAGTGTATAAGTAATGAATCTTCATAAATCAGAAAATGAGTTTTTGTACAAATATTCAGTAATTGGACAGTAAAATATCCCATGAATACATTATTAATTTTCCCTTGCAGTAAATAAAGAGTTTATATATATAATAGAGGATGACATGTATCATTTGTCCATCCAAATTATACAACGCAGTGATTTCCTTGTTTCAAGTAAGTCAAATGCTTTGTTAATATCCTCAAAGCTTACTTCATGCGTTATGAATCCATCCAAGTTCAATTCCTGCCCAACATACCAAAAAAACAAAAGCATCACATGTCATAGGGCGTATCTAGTATGGAATAAAATATTACCTTATACTAATATTTTTCAATTTTCCATGTTAATTTTATTAGTTAGAATATTTTAGAAAATATCTTTTCTAAGAAAATAAGTTTCTTAAAAATCAAGAAAATAACTTCCATTGTAAAGTATAAAAAACAAGTTCCATAAGTGACATCCAATGTTGATTGTCTACTTCGGGCCTCCCAGCCCAATCATAATTAAGGAAACTTACATTATTCAAATATTGATTAGCAAAGATGGGAATGTCAACTTTAGCTTTGACACCACCAAACATGGATCCTGTGATAGTTTTTCCAGCCGCCACCAGCTCAAGAGGGCTAATGCTTAATGGTGTACCATGCATCTCAATTCCAAGTAATATAGTTTTTCCAGTATCCTACAATATTGTGTACATATTTCATTTAAATGCTTGAAATACGGTATATTCTCACCTGAATACATGATAAAGTGTTCTTACTAAACACTTTTCGCTCAAATTTTGAATTTTTTTTTGTGTGTGTTCTCAAATATCAATTTATATGTAGGTAAGTAAATCACATAAAATATTACGTAATTAAGAAGAGTTTCGACTTTATTAGCCTTATTTATGTCTAAAGATAAATTTCTCTTTATTTGATATTTACACTATCTGTGTCATCTTCTCTTAATTGATGTGTTTGTAGTCTTCAAAAACTATCACTAAGGGTAAAATGAGAAAAAGATCAATGATGACTTTTGTTCAAACTTTTAAAATGATAAATAATTTTAGATAACTATTTTAGAAAACACGAGAGATAATTTGAATCGACAAATAATTTTTGTGAAGCCGAAAGTTTGAAGAAAATTAAACCTTGCGAGAACTAGTAAAAGCATCTTGCATTAAGGAGGTCAATCCAATACACTCAAAGCAATAGTCAGCTCCATCATCAGTCATCTCTTTTATTACCTGTCACAATTAATCAATTAATTATTGAATAATACAAATTAATTCGTAAATCAATTACTTATTGAATATATAAATATATAATTAAACAAACCTGGCTAGTGGATTTCTCACCACAAGTTGTAGGGTTAATAAAATCTGTTACTCCAAACTTCTTCCCTGATCATTATAATACATACATTTGAAATCCCTTTCAATAACAATTAACAATCTCTTCTTTTATTTTCTTATTTTAGTTTTATATGTGGGATATATGAAGTATATATGATTAAGCAAGTAATATAATACGTACCAATTTCAAATTTTTCTGGATTTAAATCAACACCTATAATTTTTGAAGCTCCACGTAACCTTGCTCCTTCCGCAACCTGTTACACATTATAACATGTGGTATTAATTGAGTTAAAGTGTCTGGTTGAAATTTTGTATGTCTCGAGATGTGAAATCGAACAAGTAGAGATGTCTATTAAACTATTCTAATATAGTTACCGCTAGTCCCACAGCTCCAAGACCAAATATTGCCACAGTTGAACCTTCTTCAACTTCTGCAACCTTCCATGCCGCTCCCAGTCCTGCTAATAACAAATTATGAAGGATGATTTTTATTTATGAAATCGCGGTTTTTTCAATTTAAAATTATGACGACATAATACATTTGAAACTCACGTTAGTGAATAGAGGTACTCTATCGTTTCAATTTGTTTATTTTTTGACTTGATACACAGTTTAAGAAAGTAAAGAAGACTTCTGAATCATGTGATCTTACCCTAAAGATGTGTAGAATGTACCAAAATATCCTTTTATCTTATGATTTTAAACATGACATGTAGAAAGTTGATTTCCTAGAATCTTTGGATAAAAACCAATAACATATAGATACAACTGAGAAAAAATAACTCATGGATATGACAAAATGTATGAAAATCTTGGATTCGAGCACTTTAAAAAAAATGTTACTAGTAGTAAGAGTTTTTCCCTTAATGAACCTTATGTTACTTCGATTCTTTAAAAATGTTATTGTATTTGTATAAGATCTTCCAAAGTTACCTACTTTAGAAGGATTTGACACACACGTCAAACAAACATTTTTAAGAAATCTAAACAATAAAACGAACCCGTAGAAACTCCACATGAAAGTAAAGAAGCTTTATCAATGGGAAGATCAGGGCTCATCTTCACTACATGTGTGACATCCACAACAGTATACTCAGAGAAGCTGGATACCCTGAGTGTATGATGCAAATTTTCTCCATTTTTATCTTTGAATCTGCTGCTTCCATCCCTTGGCATCCCACATGGATATTCAACTGAAAATTTAGAACAACCATTCCCTTTTTGGGACTTGCAATCTCTGCATTCTCCACAGTTCCTTTTAAATACTGGCACCACTATGTCCCCTGTTTTCACTTCCTCTACATTTTCCCCTACACTTTCCACCACACTGAACCATAGAAAATAAATAAATTAATCTCATATGCATCAACTATTAGAAAATCGTTAAACAAGGTGCTAAATTAGGTTTTGAGCCTAACTCACACCCCAAAAGCTAGCTCAAAGGGAGGAGGGTTGTCCAAGCCTTATAAGGAGTCCACCCATCTCATTAACTATCATATGAGACTTTTTGTCATTTTTTAACACCCCACCTCACGCCCAATGCTTAGCATCTGGTGCGTGGGCAATTTTAATTTTGGGGCCCCCAACATAGGTGAGATGGGCCTTGCTCTGATACCATGTTAAATTAAATTTTGGGTTTAACTCACACCTCAAAAGCTAACTCAAAGGAATGAAGATTGTTTAAGCCTTACAAGGAGTTCACTCATCTCATTAACTATCAATGTGAGACCTTTTGTCGTTCTTTAACACAAGGCACGTTCCTCTCTTGGGCGGTTTGGTCTAATCAAAGTCAACTGACACTCATCCAATATGGGGTTAATTAGTTTTCATAGGCTATCTTTTCTATTCGCTTTTCTATCGGATTACTTTCAGACCAGCCAAACCTTTAGATTGTTTAAGTAGATTTAGGTTGATTATATCATATATTCTTTACAATAATATAAATATTATACGAAATAAAAAATATCCAAACGAACGACGATGTGATTGATTGACTATAATTGGAAGCTTGGAGTCATTTGTTGATAGAGAAAGTAAATTACCCAGCTGCTTCATGACCAAGAATTCTAGGGAAAGCAGAAGCTGGTCCCTGAGGAAGTTAATTAACAATAAATTATGAAGAACATAGAGATTAATTAGTCTAATTAAAAATAATTTGCTTTTTCCAAAGTGGACTTACAGTTGATAATTTCCAGAAACTAAGATCAGACTGACAGAGGGATGTGCAAAGAATCTTAATCCTAACCTCCCAAGAACTGGGAGGAGCAACCTCAATTTCTTCAATGATCAGAGGTTCCCCTGCTTTTCTGCATACTGCAGCTGTTTAATTAAAGAAACATACAATTAGACAATATAATAATTACAGATTAATTAGGTACCAAATTGGATGTAATTAATGTTGAGAAAGAGAAAACCTTTGCATCTTATGGGTTTTCCTGCTGTTTGTGATGCAAAATTTGAGCCCATGACTTTTTTGTGATTTTCTCTAATTCAACTTCTTCAATAAATAAGACAATTTGGTATTTTAAATCATTTGTTACTTCATTTCTCGAAAGTCATTTAACTAATTTTTAAAGTTCAATCGAATAAGTTCAACACAATATTTTATAATTTAAATTTACATATTCAAAAGTACTATAGGCAACTAAAAGAAATAAGTATGAGGTTTGATCGTGGGAATTTTATATTTTATAAAAGATTTAGAATCTTTGTAGAAAATATAGAAAATTCAACATCTGCGTGTGAGGCGTAGGGGAGGTTCATGTGATTGGCCATAATAAAATAAAGTACACCTAATATGTTAAGTGAATTTCATATTTTAAAAGAAAGAAAAAGTGAAAAGCTTTATAAAATACGAATTAGGAAGTTGTTTGGTATGATTATGAAATAAATGAAGGTATTTAATAAGTTATGATACCTCATTATATATTATATATATTATAGTATAAATAGTGAGATAAATAATTTGAGATTAATTAATATCTTTAATCACGCACATGATAAAATAATCATTCATTTATCTCTGAATTATTATTGTTTATTCCTCATATCAAACTATCCCCAAGTATATTATTGTTGAGAATCGCAATAAATCAGTTGATTGACTATCTGAATTTAATTTTATTAGTGAGAATTCAATTCCACCTATAATCCCCTCTTTCATTTTCCCTCATCTATCCTAATTTATTTATATATTTTTAAAAAAGAAAAGTATACATTGTTGTTGAACTTAGTAAATATACTAGAAAAAGGTAACAACCATCCAAACAAGCATAACTCTCATTCATAGAACTAGAATTAAATTAAAGATACTTTTTTTCCAGATTCAAATCTCTGAAACGAAACGAGATAGATACAAAAGTATTTAACTCCTTTTTAGTAAATTAAATAATAGCAATAAGTAGAACAAACATCAATTTAATAAATATCCCAAAGCACAAACAAGATAGAAAGGTTATTAAAATAACAGGATTATTTTCCCATCCAAATGATACAACGCAGCGTTTTGCCAGCTTCAAGTAAGTCAAATGCTTTGTTAATATCTTCAAAGTTAACTTCATGTGTTATATATCCCTCCAAGTTCAACTCCTGCCCAATATTCCCAAAAACAAAGCATCAACTACTTATAAATTAATTTGGCATAGGAATAATAATACTTTTGGTCCCTCGTTAGTAAATTCTAAATTTTGATCCTTATGATACATGACGACTACAATACCATCATAACATATATAAAACATTGGTAATTAAAATAAATTTATGTGAATATTCACAAACGGCAAACAGATAAAATGCACATTCAATTAATTGAAAAAGGTTAGATATTGTTAATCAATTAAATGTCATGACAAGGATTAATTAAATCAGAGTTTATTAATAATCGAACTACCAAAAGTACAATGAACCTTTTGGAATTATTTATGTGGTAGCTAGGTTCGTTAGACCTTTTTAGTATATAATATTCACAACGATAAACTAAATTTAGAATTATTTGTATTGAAAATGTGTAATAAAATAACAAGAAAACTTACATTATTCAAATATTGATTAGCAAATAAGGGAATGTCAACTTTAGCTTTGACACCACCAAACATGGATCCTGTGATAGTTTTTCCGGCCGCCAATTCATAAGGGTTAATGCTTAACGGTGTGCCGTGCATCTCTATTCCAATAATTACAGTCTTTCCAGTACCCTACCATTATATATCAACATGAATGTTTAGGAGATATATATAATTCGATCTTTCGTCTCAAAATAAGTGTCATCTTAATAAAAATCACATCTATTTATAACAAAGGAATCAATAAATATAATGTGTAGTTTGTTAAATTATACTTGTTTGATATAGTAATATATATCTTTTGTGATGCACACTATTAAAAAAATGAAGATGAAAAAAATATATTTTTGTTTTGAATTCAAAAGGTCATCACACTATTTTTAGGATAGAGAGTATAAAAGTTCATGTTCAAAATTTGTATATTATAACTTTGAAAATTGCACAAATTATAATATAATTACAAATATTTTATTTATATTTGTATAACATTGAAATTTAAAATAAGCTTGATGAAAACAATAAGACTAGTGGGGATTTAATTTATATATCATGAATCAACTTGTTTCAAATTAGGACATTTAGAATCAGAGTTATGATTTAAAGTTTATGAATTTTGAATTTTAATCTTTAATTTACTGAATTATAAATTAATAATCCATAAATATTTAATAGATTTTTAAGACAAAGACAAAGACAAAATTTAATTTAAATCAAAACTATTAAAATCGATCAAACCCTTAAAAAGATTAATTATAAGAAGGGAAGTAAACCTTGCGAGAACTAGTAAAAGCCTCTTGCATTAAGGAGGCCAATCCAATACATTCAAAGCAGTAGTCAGCTCCACCATCACTCATCTCTTTTATTATCTGTTATCACTAAACTTAATTAATAATTTAATAACTCAAATTAATTGGTAATTATTCTTTTTTTCTAGCAGAAATTAAAGAATGAAAAAACAAAAAAGTTAAACAAACCTGGCTAGTCGATTTCTCACCACATGTTGTAGGGTTAATAAAATCTGTTAGTCCAAACTTCTTCCCTAGTCATCATACATTTGAAAATTGAAATTCATTTTTCAATAACAATTACTAATATTTTATTTTTATTTTAGTTTTTTGTAAGAATGATTAAGCAAATAATAATACGTACCAATTTCAAATTTTTCTGGATTTAAATCGACACCTATTATTTTTGCAGCTCCACGTAACTTAGCTCCTTGTACGACCTGTTAAATTGTTTATTACGTACAAGAATAATTTACTAACTTCAAAATGTTATAATAAGGTGATCAAATTACAACTTTCATAGGCTACAACCTACATGTTTCTTTATTTGTTGGATATAACACAAATCCAACAAATAAAGACATTTTATTGGATCTATTAATATATGCGATGAATAGTCAATTAATTAAAGCAAGTTAAATAGCAGACCTGATTTACAAGATTTTATCCTTATGGACCCCAATTTGATTCCTTCTTGACTCAAATCATCTAGATGGGACCTCAAATTTGAAAAGGAGAGGATTCACTTTGTTTTATTGAGTAATCTCATATAATATAAATCATTCCTTATTTGAAAAAAAAAATACAAACATATAATGCGTTAATATCTGTCTTTGAAAGAGAGAGGGGACAGAAAAAAGAGAGGGCCAAAAGTAGTAAAACGTGATTAATCATTTTGTAAAAGAGATCGTCTATACAATGTGATGATCGTTAATTAAAGTATATTAATAACTAAATTGAAAATGACTGAGAGGTGCGTTTGTATTACTACTATGGAAACACAACCTCATGAGTAAGTTAGTATAAAAATTTCAAATTTTACTTACAATATACTTAAAAACAAACCACTACACCAAAAATAACAATTAGCTATTCGTTGCTAATATGTCGTAGTAATTTTTAATCATTAATTACAAACTTACTGTTAAATAATATTAGTATATTGTTTGGCGATAAAAATTAGCTGTAGTTAATTTTTTTCCCTAGTGAAATAAAATTCATGTAGAAAAAGCATAATTATTTGTTGAACTTTATTGTCAACACATAAATGGAATTACCGCTAGTCCCACGGCTCCTAGTCCAAATATTGCTACGGTGGAACCTTCTTCAATATCTGCAACTCTCCATGCAGCTCCCAGTCCTACAAAAATAGAAAAAAATAAGCGCCTGAAAAGTATAGTCTAAACTATTAAAAAATTAAGTGTGATATTTGATTAAAATCACAACTCAACATAAAATATGGATAACTCTTGCTTTAAGATGATGCACGCTTTTTGTTTAACTCATTAATTAAGGGCAACACTTTTATATATATGTTATGATACACAAAAAAGTGATTGACCTTTTCATTGATCAAAAGGCCACACTTTGCAAATATGTAGTATTAAAAAAACATATTTGTTTAGAAGGAAATGGATTGAAACAAACCTGTAGAAACCCCACAAGAAAGTAAAGAAGCTTTATCAATAGGAAAATCAGGATTCATCTTCACCACATGTGTGACATCCACAACAGTATACTCAGTAAAGCTGGAAACACATAATGTATGGTACAATTTTTCTCCATTTTTGTCCTTGAACCTGCTGCTTCCATCTCTTGGCATTCCACAGTAAAAATCCTCAGGGAATTTTGAACAAATATTTCCCTTTGGACACTTGCAATCTCTACATTCTCCACAGTTTCTTTGAAATACTGGTATTACGATGTCCCCTTCTTTCACTTCCTCCACATTTTCTCCTACACTCTCCACCACACTAAACAAAAAAGAAGAAGAAGAAATTTAACTCATATGGGTGAATTTATACCATTAGACAGTCTGTCTAGCGGTGTTTTTCACTAATAATAAAATAAAAATCCTGCATACGAATAAGTACAAGCAACGAGGGCTAAACTTTAGCTTACCTTACCATTTCTAATGAGGTTATGAACTGAAAATCATAAGGGTACGAGATGTTCAGAGTATGAATATAATGGAGACGAGAGGAATTAAGCATTTTACTCAACAATATGCATAATCATATTTCTAATTTAATTAAAAAAGAAACTATATATAGAAGCAAAATTAGCAATTTTTGATAAAGAAATTAAGCTAATTACCCAGCTGCTTCATGACCAAGAATTCTGGGGAAAGCTGAAACTGGTCCCTGGGGAAATTAATTACAATTTAGCAGTAAATTATGAAGAACATAGAGATTAATTTAAAGTATTATTGATAAACTTACAGCTGATAATTTCCAAAAAGTAACATCACTATGGCATAGGGAAGTACAAAGAATCTTAATCCGAACCTCCCAAGAAGTAGGAGGAGCAACCTCAATTTCTTCAATAATCAGAGGTTCCCCTGCTTTTCTGCACACTGCAGCTGTTTATTTCAAGAACAGACCATTAACATGATATTCAAGCGTGATTCGTATGTAATTAATACGAAGAAAAAAAACAAGAAAGAGAAAACCTTGGCATCTAATGGGTTTTCCTGCTGTCGCTGATGCAGAATTCGACCCCATAATTGTGAGTAATGTTCTTGTTCTCATCAAACTTCTTTATTATATATTACTTAAATAATTTTTCTGTTGCCACTACTTTTTATCAAAAAGTCAAAAACAGAGAGTAACATTTCTGAATATGGTGAAAGTTATTAGTTTCGTTTTAAAATTATTGATAATATTAAAAAAAGGAAATTTTAGCAAATAATTACTATAATAAATTTACTTATGCTCCATAACTATAGTTTGTATATTTATAGACTATAATTATAGTTTAAGCTACCTTATTTGTATAATTTGTGGGTTTGTATAATTCACAGATTTGTATAATTCACGAGTATATTTGTATAATTCAGTTATTTTTATATAAACTAGAAATAACGAATTTATACAATTATAAACACCTGAAGTGTAAACAGTTATACAAATTATATTATACAAAAATTACATTATAGAAAAGTTATACAAATTTCGAATTATACAAAACTAAAAAGCTGAGACGCGTAATTATAGCTAAAAGTAGGTCGCAAATTGTAATTAAGGCAAACTATAGCTATGTTAAGCAATTAACTAGTATATGTTTGATTATATACGTAATTTTCCCTATTAAAATTACTTGACTAACTAAACTCAGATACACTCTAAAGTTCGATCCATCATATGACGTAGTAAGTGATCTCAAATTCTTATAGTAGCAAGAAACTTTCAATAAAAAATTGAGATTTTTAATAAGATTTTCAATAATTCGAAAATGAAACTAATAATTTGCGTCAAATCCAAAGTGTTTTCAAAATTTCTCTCAAAGTCAATGTCCTTGTAGATATATTTCCTTCATCTCAAATGATGTAACGTGATTTTTAAAAATAATTCTTTGAAACTATTTATCATTTCAAAAATTCATGACAAAATTAATTACTTATTATTTTTATATTCTAACCTTAATTGTAAAATGATACATCTTCAAAAATGAATAAACAACTCAATTTGAAAGAGATGGCACATATGTGAAGTACATATTAAATTATTATAGATTATATCTTAGAATATAAATAAGATTAAAATAGTAAAAAGAAAGCAACGTTCTTGGAAGTTAGAGTGCTTCACTCTTTTGTTATTAGTGGGTTCCTTCACAAAGCCATTTTTAAGTAAATAAAGGATCTTTTTTAAATTATTGTGTTTTGAATTCCTTTTACTTATCCTGAATTGGATATTGTCTTTTTTTTCTTAAAAAAAAAAAGGGTTTCTTAAAAAAAAAAAAGGGGTAGAGGAAGAGAAAATGAAAAGGGAGAAAATCTAATTTTTCACTAATGAAGTAAAAGTTTAAATACTTAATAAAGTGATCTATTAAATTTTTTCAAAATTTTGTATCTATTCGTAAAAGATATTTTCAAAAAGACTTTTCCGTAAATAGTGTGAATAGATATATTATTTTTATCTTCAACCTTTAAAATAATGATCGAAATTATAATCTCAATTACATGATTAACTTTAATAAAATAGTATCAATCATGTGAGACACGTTTCCTCATAAATCAAGTAACTAAGAATTTCTAATCTCGATAATGAAAGTATTTAGAGTCATTTTTAAACAAGACAAAAACACATGAATATATTCACAACTTGTTGTTGTGTTTTTGTTTTTAATGATTGACTCTATTTCCGCTAACTTTTTATTTGTACTGCTTTAGATTATTTTTCAGCTGACTGTCTATTTAAAATAATTTTCTATTCCAAGATAATGATAAAATTTACCTATATTTTAACCTCCTCAAACTACATTTGGAGAAATTATACTATTTGCTGCTTTTTCTTCCTTATGCATTGTTTTAGAAAAAAATTCGAATTTCATTTTCAACCATGCATTCATAGGTGGAGTAATATTGTTTGTGTTAATTTTTTAATATATTTTTAAAAAATAATAATTAAACAGACACATCTATTTAAAAACTTTTTTCTGAAAAGTCAATTTTCAAGTTCTTAAATATATATATATATAAAAGAATTCTCATGAAGCAACGTAAGTTAATTTGATGATTAATATGAATATTTTACCATAATATTTATATTATTGATGGGTAATTTAGGTAAAATTGATTTGTAGGATAAGTAATTAATGTTGAAGATAAATAGGGGAAACAATTAATTATTTTTTCTTGATGTATTAAAAGTGAAAAGTTCATTTTTAAAATACTGGACAAGTAAAATTGAACAAAAAAAATAAAATCTGATTAACAAATATTTATTTACAAAAATATCCTACACAATTATGATGGAAAAGATGTTAAAAGAATTTCAAGGTGTAATTGGGTCTTTAACCATACTAATGCATGCATTAAGTCCATTTACATTACTATTACCTAAAAATCCATGATAATAGTAATACACACTAGAACATTGGTTATACATAACATAAAGTACCAGATAATATATTACTATACACAGAGCTAGTATATTCATTATTTTTGCTAATACACTCTACCAAACGACCCATTTACAAAATAAGGGACCAAAGATATGAACCAGAGTCCAGACATCTACACCAATGGAAGGAGGCTAAGGTCACTTACATTGTTGGGCTAATTTTGGGTATGGGCTCCATAGAAGCATCTCAAGCCCACTCTAAGTCTCAATATAAAACTTTATCACATATTTGTCAAGCTTATCAACATAATTAATGTCTTCATCAGTACACTAAATATTAACCCAACAATTGAATTTGCAATGTTGAGATCAAGAAAATTCAAACTTATAAATGGAATTAGAACACTTCAATTAGAAATTTCAAACTTATAAATGAAATTGAAGTGTTAATCATTCATAAAATTTTATGAAAAGATCATTAAAACAATTTCACTCCTTGAATAGTAATAGTAACATATATTGGTTTATTGAAGTCTAATAAGCTTTTTCAAGAGTTTATAGAAGTATATTTGTCATCTTCTTTAGTGAGTGTCCATTTAATCAACACTTTGCCTCCCGCGTCTATGATGCACTTTACTTGATCCAGATCTCGAGTCTTCCTCTCTCGAGACTTGACAAACATGTACAACTTCTTTCTATGCATTTATCCCCTAGTTCACGTACAAATATTCAAGACATAGATAATTTTAAACCTTTTAACTATTCTAAAATAAAGACAAATATATTTATGAAGAAATTTTAAATAAAATACACTAAAAATATGTGATAAATGAACAAATAAATATTGCATTCTTCTTATAAAAATGAAAATGTTATCTTAAGCACTTTCATATTGGTTATTTTCTTTGTTTGTTTTTTTCTTTATAATTTTCATTTCTCAATTGGTGGGGAGTGGGGTGAATATGAATTATATATGCAAAAGGAAAATAAGCTTATAAAGTTGCTTGCCACATCCTTGAGGAAACATTGGTTAATTCTTTATTGAAATTGACAGTTAAATACCAATTATTGGGGTCTAAAGACTCAATAACTTATACACAACAAGTGGGGGGGAAAAGAACAAAAAGATACGTAAGTTTCTAAATGGAACTTTTTTTTATTTTTATACCTCAACGCTAAAAGAGTTGTGAATATTTTTTTTACCATCTTAAAAGAATCAGGTAAGAATCAATCTTCTGGTCCATTGACAATGACTTAGCAACCCGTTTGATGTTTTTTTCTCCATTATTTGGGTGTCCGATATCTGCATTGAAGTTTAATTAATTTGTATTCGCATTGTGTAGGTCCCATTTGGATGAAAATGCTCCCTATCAAAGATTTTTCGATATTCGAGGCTCGAGTTCCAAACCTCTGATGAAGATAACAACAATCTCATCCACTACATCACATTTCTCAATGATCCATTATATCTTGATTTATAGTTCCTTGAAATTAAAATTTTATCATTGTATCATTTATGGAAATGTTATTTTTTTGGATCATCACGTAGATATCGTCCTTATATTTAAATAGTAGTGTAAATTAGGAGTTGTTCAAACAAAATCAATCAATAATACCAAAGTACCAAACTAACAAAGCAGTGTTAAACCGGAAAAGAGACGACTTATGAATTGATTTGATTCGATTTGGAGTTGAAAGAAAAAAATACAATCATAATTGATTTGGTTTGATTTTAACTGAAAACGTCCAACAAAAATTAAATTAATAACAAACATTAAATATACCATTTTAAAAAAAAAAGTATATATATTGCAATTAGTGAGTATTTCTTAAAAACTTTTTCATAATTGTGATCTAATGTCTTCTTATAAGATTTTTAATTTGTTATAAAAAATTGTGGATCATGATCTAATATTCATAAATTGGAAGAGAAATAAAATGAGAATCATATTTACCACTCCCTCCGTCCCATTTTATATGTCATCCCTTTTTATAAATAATTGGTCCATAATACTTGTCATTTCATAAAATCAATGCATGAATTAGCATATTGTTCCTTTTTTTACCCTTGTGAGTTATTAGCATTGAAAACATACATTTGACCAACTTAGAAAAGTTAAGTAAATTATTCATGTTCATTGGTTAAATTAATTAATCAAAATAAATTAATTTATATTTATTGATTGAAAACTTGAGTTCCAAAATAAATAACTAAGGGTAGAAGGGTAAAATTACATCATTTCTTAATGCAAACAAAGTAAAAAAGTGACATATAAAATGGGACGGAGGGAGTATATAGTTATCCCAAAAACGAAAAACCGACAAAATTTCACTTCATCATTATAGATTTTAAAAGAAATATCGAGGACACAAATTCAAAAGCAATACTCAAAGATAATTAAGAAAAAAAGTGCTAGCTCTTTTAAATTCCCACCATCCTAATATCCTATAATATTCGTCACCCTATAAAAGTTGTGTGCTTGTGAAGTCGTAAATAATCCACAAAACAAAAGGTTTTGTGCATTGTATTAAACAATTACAGAATTTCGAGTTCACATTGGTTTATATCCACGAAGATTTTATAGGTTGAATATGATTGCCTCTACTCTTAAATCTTAAGTTTCAGATTTGATCCCTCAAAAATCAAAATGAAAATGCAGGTGAATTCGAATTTATCAAGGATCTCTATATCAATATTGAACATCATTTGAGAAAGCAAAATAAAGCATCTGATTAATATTTTGATGAAATTAATATTAAACTTGTTTTGGTATTTGTGTTGAGGGAAAAAAGAAGAAGGTATGGTCACATTATTATTACTAGTAGTACTATACTTCTATTATTGAATTTTGACTGGTTGTTTAATTATTTTACTTGATAGGGAAAATTTTAATAAATAACATTGGAACTACTGTTTCATCTCTTTTTATAATGAAGGATTGATTCTATTATGGTATAGTATTTGGAAAAGACTCCACCACAATTCTAATAGTAAAAATATGGGGAATGAGACACAAAATGTTAGACAAATATTTACGTGTTAACTGAAGCAAGTATTACTAATTGAATAATTTCGACTTGCACAAAAAAATATATTATATTTTTCTATTTAAAAATGTATTTTTGAAAAAGTTAATTCAACATATAAGATGATCAAACATCGAAAAACAATTTTATCACAGAAATATTTTTTGAAAATACATTCTATATTGTACTAAATACTAAATTGACATGTCTTGAAAATTCATCTAGTGATGTGTCTCTCAAAGATTGTTAAAATATAATTTGAATAATAAACCAGAATTATTTTTGCTCAATATCACAGATATAGGATTAATTGTGAAATGAAAATCCTTTGAACACAATACTTTTATGCTTTATTGCTGTTTCCATAATATTTTGAAAATGGTCAAACATAATTCGGTCAAAAATAAATTTGACTCAGTCAAAACTTGCTTTAATGTAAAAATAGTGAATCTAATCAAATTAGGATAGCTAATTAGAGTCATTGGGCTTGTAACCTTTGGTAAATTAACCAATGCAAATGAAAGTAATCTTAATTAGGTTTCTGTAATTACATGTCGTATTGGAAACAAATCCACTCCAAAGGGTCATTATTATTACTAAACTACTACTGGCTACGTCTTTTTAACTATCATTTTAGCTATAAAAAAAAAAGTGCTATTTAAAAATTTTAAATTTAAAATTGATAAAATATTATTAAAATATGCACAATATTTTTTTAAAAATCAATCTACTTTTATTACATAGGAATAAGTTAGTAAACTACAATTTGTATTTTTATTTTTTAATAGACATTAAAAAGGCTTAAATGAAAGTTAAAATGGAGCAGAGAGAATATCGTTCATAAAGCTAAAATAAAATTAATTTCAACGGTTAATCTAAAAATAATGGAAAACCATTTATTGCCTCGGAATTAAGTAAAGTATTAACTTTATTTTGCTCTTTAAAGCCCAACCAAATTGTACCATAAATCAATAATATCGAATGAGCATAATAAGACCGTTCAGATGGTAAGAATTGATTACATTTAATTTCAATTGAATTAAGTTATATACACGGCAAATTATTTTTTCTACACTAGTCATACTATAATTTAATGAGTTATTTATTATTTTAAGGTTCATTTTATTTTTTTAAAAATGATTTAAAGAATATTGGCTGCAGTTTCTTTATAAAACTAATCTAGTTGTGTAAATAATTTTTTTCCCAATGATCTCTATTACACAGAAGATAAACAAAGAAAAGTTGGTTTGAAGATAATTAGATGTCCTGTTCAAATCGAATATAATGACATATATCATGTCACTTGAATTTCTAAAAAGATATAAACTTTATAATATAAGATATATATGGCTTTGTCCAAACCGTCCATAAAAACGAACACAACATTTGGTACCTACTTAAATACTTGTGTAATTAATCACCAACAACGATTATGGTGTAGTTGTAACTTTAAGTATTATTTTAGAGGTCTTGGATTTGAGTCTCTTCGAATACACATTCATTTTTTAGAAAATACTTTACTACAATATAAAATTTTTTGACACAATCTGAATATAGTCGAACTTCAATATGAGTATGAGATACTAATTTTTTTTGTTTAAGATGAGGGGATAAAATTAATCAAAGTATCACCCATATGATAACGGTGGACCCCGTTTAGTCATTCATGGAATTGAAGTAACATTTTAAAATGTATTGACTAACATTAGAACATAACGGAGTTTCAATAATTTTTTCTCTTTTTTTGTTACAAAGTTTGTATGAGAAAAGAAAAAATAGAATAAGTTAAAATAAGTAGTTATATAATTAGAAAAGAGATAAAATACGACAAATTTGGGGTTAAAATATATATTATTATTATTTATTATTAAGAGGAAGCAAGTAAAACATACATATTTAAAATAAATAAATGATTTTTGTGTAATTATGCTATTAACGATTTATAATTATCTACAAAAGACTATATTTTTACGCTTTTTGCCTGTTTGCCATATTAAAATTGTAGGGGATACTCCCACAAATAATCAAGTCCAGAAAAAAAATTAAGATAACGCAAAATTGATTTGCATCAAATAAAATGTTCAAGCTCATAGGTAGTTTTAGATAGACATAATACATAACAATTATTCAAATTTAATTTTAATTTGAAAGTGTATATTTAAACATTTTAATTTAATCTTAATTCATTTTTACTATGTTCGATGGACACTTACGATAACGACACATGATTTATAAGGTGTTAAAAAGATATTTTCACGTAAAAAACGAGTTGAGGTGTTTAAACAGGCGAAGTTAAACTAGAGAAGCAGACAAAAATAAAACGTAATCACTCACATAAAGCCCATTCTTATCTTAGCAAAAACTGATATCACACGCATCTTTTCTCATCACAATCATCATCATCTTCTTCCTCTATGCAACTCACGAATCTACGGTGTATCCTCCCCTCCCCCACCAGGCTCCATTTTATACTCTTTAATTAAAACCCTTTCATTTACAAAGCCCCATTCTCTTCTTTTAAGCTAAAATCCCCATTTCCCAAAGGTTAAAGCAATACAAATCTGCCCCCGACCCCCTTAGTTCCATCTTTTTCTTCTTTTCATTCACTTTCTTTACTTACTGTATCAAGTTTGAATCTTTGTAATCTTCATTACTACGACTTTTTTGGTAATATAAAAAAAGGGAATATAGTATAATTTTAATTTGTTGCTCTGTTTTTAGTGGAAAATAATAATAGATACTCTGTTTTTATATAATAACCCCATTTCTAGAGAGAGAAAGAGTGGTTTGGGGAAGCTCTGCTGCTCTATTGTTTAATGGATAAAAGCTGTAATTCTTCTGGTGAGGGTGATTCTACTGCTACTTCAGCAAGTAGTAGTAGCAGTGGTAATAGAGATATGTATTTGAAGCACCTAAACAAAATCTCTCATAAGATCTCGAAACCCATTAGAAAACCTATGTTTTTTGAAAACCAGAATCCTCCGCAGGCGCAGACCCAACACGCTCCACCGCCTCTTCCTCCTCCTCCTCCTCCTCCGCCTCCTCCAGCTGGGCAGCAAAATTTGCACCCTCAGCCACAGCAACAACCGCCGGTGTATAATATTAACAAGAGTGATTTTAGGGATGTTGTTCAGAAGCTTACGGGTTCCCCTGCTCATGAAAGGATTTCGACTCCTCCGCCTATTCAACAACCCAAGGCTGCAAGTTCACGGTTGCAGAGGATTCGTCCTCCGCCGCTTGCTCAGATAAGCAACCGCCCACCTCCGTTTGTGAATGGTTCTAATAACGCCGTTGCTGGTGGAGGTATCGGTGGGTTTGTTGGCGGTCAACGGCCTGTTCAGGTACAGCCGTTATCTCCTCTCCCACCGTTTCCGGCGGTGCATGCGTCGGCGGAATCGCCGATCTCCGCTTACATGAGGTTTCTACAGAGCTCAATCGCTTCTGCTTCGACTGATTCCGATTCCAAGCGATTCTCTACTGGGCTATCACCACTAGCTCCGCGGTGGAACAACTTCGGTGCACCGCAGCAGCAGCCACCATTTCCGCCTCCTCAGCCGCATCAACAGAACATTCCTCCGCCACCGACAAACTCCTCCTTTGTTTTACCACCGTTTCCTGCTTTTCCCTCATCGCCACTTCCGTTTGGGTGTTTGCCGTCGCCAAGGTCGCCGTACGGTTTGCTATCTCCCGGTCTTCTGCTTTCACCGTCCCGTCAACTAGGGTTTCAGCAGCTCCCTTTGTCGCCGACACTTCCAGTGGCAAGCCCGAAGTGGAAGGGTATTTGAGGAATTTCATAGAAACATTAAAAAGGTAAGTCTTTTAGGAGTTTTTCAAAAAAAAATTGTTTTGTTTTTTATAATAGGAATATAGTTTATAATTTGTACATTTTGGGGGAATCATTGGATTATATTGAAGAGTAGAGTCTTTTATGCCCAAATATGATGTAGCTAGCTATTAAATGGCTAATTAGGGGTTTGTTTTGTTGTACATGAATGTTAAAAGAGATAATTTTTTGTTTGTTCATTCATCTCTTCTTATCATCTTCATTGATAAAATAGTAAAATACTGAATTCTTTGTGATCAACTTAATTCGATCTTTAAGTTCCATTGATTTAGAATGTGAACTAAATTGTATGTACTTGCCGATGGGATATAATGGTGATGTTTGGGTCAGCTTGTGTTAGTCTTGACTCTATCAAAGACATTCTTTCTTTGTGATACCGTGGTATTCAAGCAGCTCGTGCTTATCCGGACTTTATCAAATGTATTTCTTTCCATTGGCAAGGTGTGTGCAAACTGGTTTGAACACTTCTTTATCCAAGTTTCTCTGAGCTATCTCAATTAAGGGGAGGAGAGCAGGGGAGTGGTATTTAATAGAGCAACAAGTTCAAATTATATTATACATTTGCTTCTGTACTGATTCTGTGTTGTTTTGATTTGCCTTTAGTAGGGTACTTGTTGTTTCTCTTTATTTGAGGTATTTCACTCAGATACTTCCATATTACTAAGCCTACAATGTGGTATGCCTTTTAAAGTAACGGGTTAAGTTTTTAAGAACTTGATTATTTCATTTTCCAACTTTAAGGGGCAGGAATTGAGGCCTTATTTCTAGCGTTTGTGAGTTTATCACTAGCATTGTTTCATGCCATAGACCCTATTCGTTGTTGGCGTTGGATGTGGTTGGTGTAAAATGGTGGTTAGCGATAATGTTTGCTTGGTTTCTCAATTGTGTTTTATTGGTTCATGCTACTCTCCCCATTCCAGTGCAGTTTTTTTTGAAATTACAACATAGAATTAGATGGCAGGCACACTTACTTCTCCTTTGTTTAGTTCAATATTTTACTCCAAGGAAAGTTCATACTTGATGATCATGGTCACTTGAGACTCTCTGCCAGTTGTACAGAGTGACAGTCGTATAGAGTGGCGTAGACAGGATTTTCGGTAGAAAATTTCATCACCATCCCTTCAAAGATTGTGATTTGAAGTGTAATGGTGAGCTTTATTAAACATCACCTGTAGCATGAACGTTGTTTTTGAAGTACTAGTTCAATTGAAAAGATAAAAAGTTAGTGACGTGGAGAAATTGGAGTAGTTCTTTTGGTTGATGATTTTTTTATGGAAAGAGTAGAATATGTGGACCTGTGTGTTGCTCTATTAATTTTGAACCTCCTTTTGACTGGTTGATTTCAAGGAGAACTTATTTTTTGTGTGGTTGGAGACATTGTTGTGGGGCTCTTCAGATGGTCTATTCCCACTCAAGGTTATGACTAATGACTCCCATGAGCCAATTTCAATCAATTATCTGCTTTAGGCCTAACCCATTGCCCATTGGTGGCTCTTTAAAGTTGACATTAATTTTCACTTAGACACTTTAACTGGGCAAGGTTCATTTTAGACACCTTAGGTCGGGTTTCACTATGTCATTTTGACACTTTTTGCTTATATGACTTAGTGAGTGTAATATACTTGTTGAGCGCGCCTGAAAAACCTATTTAGTCGATTTTTTAATTATTTTTTCTTCTTCTTTCCCATTTTTGCAAACTTAAATATCCAACATGGTGAATAAAAATAGTTCCAGGAACTATTTTAGAAATTTAGGAATAGATCCATTTCAAGATTAAATATTAAATTATTCATGATATTCTTTTTCTTGAAAGAATTAAATATTTAAAGAGGAGTAAGTTTAATTTTTGGTGAATTATAAACCTCCTAATTAGGGTAAAAAAGAAAAAAGATATATTTGAAGAAGACACTAATAAAAAAGAAAGAGTATGTAGGTGCCCAGATGTTTTAGCAAAAAAGAGATGGGGTATTTAGAGAAGACAATGGGGTGGGGGACCGGGTATGTGCAGATTTTTCTGCAAATGAGTAGGGGTATTTGGAGAAGGCGGGGGGAGGGGGCAGGTGTTTCTGCAAATGGGTATGGGTTTTTGGAGAAGACAATTGGGTTGGGGGGGGGGGGGGGGTCATGTGGGGATTTTATTGATTTAATTTGTTTTAAAAAAAATATTTGGGAAAAAATCCACGTGTCATTGAGTCATTGGTTACTTTATATTTTTAATCAAAATTCATTATCTACAAATTGTTTTTGACAAATGTCGTCATTTAATTCGCCACTTTACACGTCATTCGCAAGTGTAACACACACCTCATATATTTTTGTTGATTGGCAAAAGAGTGTCAAAATGACACAACAAGACCCTATATGAAGTGTCTAAAATGAACATCGCCCACTTGAGGTGCCTAAGTGAAACTTCGTGTCAACTTTGTGTCAACTTTAAGGGGTCACCGATGGATTAGACCTTTGCTTTAAGAAGGAAGAGCAACCACATCTAAATGCCATTTTTTTAATGGAAAAAGTTTCATGACCTCAGTTGTGTAAGATCGAGACGAGTTTAAATGGAGCGAAATGAGCAGTGAGAATATAACATAGTTGATTTTGACTAGTTTGAGATTGAGGTATAATTGAGGTTGGACTACACTTCTTTTTGCTAGCATTTGAGTATAGATTTTGAATTTCTTTTGAGAATGTGTGTTCAATTATAATTTTTGATTTCAAACTCGTATGTTTTGAGAACTTTAAAAAATACTTATAAATTTGACATAAAATTATCATTTTTAAAATGATAGATTATGTATTATCCTAAATCTTACATAAGTACATAGCAACATATTTTGATAAATTATAAATAACACAATTAGTTACGAAAATTCACAAGTGAAGAAACAATCTCTTTACTACATAGAAATTGATTGTGATCATAAATAGATGATTTTTTTAAATTAAATATAAAAGTTTGAATTAGATTGAATGCAACTAAGCAATGCCTCAAAAATGAAAGAATCCATTTGGTTATTGATTTTGAAAGCAATTTTTGGATCCATGAGTGAGATTGATTGGGGAGTGGACAGGGGCGGATCTACCCTATTAGAATGTTTTGTTTACAAAGATCTCTTGATTCCTCGCGGCCGGGCCGGCTTGGAAGCAAGCTACCACGTACGGTTTTGAAGCCGAGCCTTTCTAGCAATGGGGCCTAGGGACCGATATGATGATTGGTTTAGGTAGGGCGGCCGGCCTACTACGGGCACCTGTAGGGATTAGTGTGTGAGACCGCAACCCCTACTGAAGATAGGTCGCCAAACTACGACCGAGAGTTTCGCCTTTTGAAGCGCCAGTCGCGTAGGGCGACCGGGCCAGGTCGAGTCCAAACCCTTTCTCTCGAGTATACCCATTACCACTCATCGTAATATAGATCTATATCCAATTCATTTGTTGGTAATATACTACTATTTTTAATTAATGAGTGTTAGAATTTGTTATTTTGGCCTCTCACATAAGCAAAAAGAAATAAAAACAAGTTTGTTTTGGCCTTTTCAGCGAAGTTAAGTATGAAGAATCCACAATCCGTCCCACATCAATTTCTCAAAAATCTATTTCAACTCGCCTCGCATATGATGCCGTGCCCTGCATATTTCAAACCCTCCCCGTCCCGCAAAGCCTTATGATGCAAAAATATCACTTCCGGCAGAACATGAGAGGTAAGGTAAATCAGGTATTGTACCCTTTGTGTGTCTAGCCAGTCCAAAGAAGCATTTGAGACACTCTTATTATTATTAGTTGTTAGCGTAGATGATAATGTTAATTCCATCTTGTTGTATATTGTCATCGTTCAAAAGAACAAAAACCCATAAGTTTGATGGCATACATGTTACTATAATTGTTGCAGGCAACGCATATGGAGCTCAAGCCAAGGAAAATGGATGATGATAAAGTAAGCTAATTGAAGAAGTATATACATCACTGAAGGAAAAATTTACTGGCTAATTGATAAGATATCGGTTGATTTAGTATCAGATTAGTAATTACTGGATGGTTACTTGATGATGTATATATAAATATTGGCACTCTTTGTTAAGTTGTATATTTTATGACACCAAAATCAGTAAGAGAGAAAATGATCCGTTCTTAACTCAAGAGCCGGGACTAATATAATTCTGCATGTTAGATAAAACTTAATCATCACGACAAATTACTCTTTAGGCCCTGTTTTGTTTGATTAAAAACTCTTCTTCGAATATATGTTTGGCCATGAAATTTTGGAATTCATTCAGAAATTTGAAATATACTAAAAAGTTTGTTTGCATATTTTTTACTTCCACTATTCACAAAAATTCGAAAACAACTCCAATTTATAGTAATCGCCAAACAACTCCAATAGCCATAAAATTTACAAAAAAAAAAAATTACTTTGAAAACAATTTTTTTTTTCAATTACTCACAATTTCATGACCAAACGCCACCCTATGTGTGCTCACATGGGTGTAAGCTATTCTACAGAAGGGCTTATTTATTCTTGGGAAAATTGTACATAATGACAAACTATTAATTCAAATTAAATGGTATAACCACACTTTGATTTAATTGTGTCCTGTAGCAAACTGTTTGTCAGTCGCCTCTCTCCCTCAAACTCTCGCTCGCCACTCTCCCTCTCTCGCTCGCTCCCTCTGTGCTCGCCTCTCTCGCTTTATACAACAAAATTGTATAAATTGTGTTTCTGTTTGTATAAAGCAAAAGAAAATTGTATATACACATGCAAATACATATATATTCGTCATATACACTTATAATTATACAATAAAAATATTCCCCTGCCAACGAGAGGCTAACAACAATTTATACAAATGGTCTACCAGCGAAATTATACAAATCTGAAGAGGAGCCAACGAATTATACAACTGCTTCTTTTTGTATATATGTATAGCGAAATAGACATAGTTTTCAATTGTATATGTATAGCGAATTATACATATATATGTTTGTTATAGAGCGCAATTATGCAAACTTCGCTATAACATACAAATACGATTTTTTTGTTTGTTATATGTGAAAGTTGTTCTTTATTCTTTACTAAGAGAAATGGTCGATATGCTTTTTGAACTACGTGAAATTATCTAAGATGTGTCCCTAATTGTTCTGCTGGCAACAACATTGGTATTAAACC